TACTACTAGAGAGTGAAGGATTCACTTGGTTACTCAAAGGTAAGGATCTATGTTTGTAATTTGTGATTACTTCACTCTTTTCTCTTGTCCTTCTAGAATTCTCGTGAGAAGATTCTTTAAGAAGATCCGATTCTCTGCTGACACTCGAGGAGTGTAAACAGCCGAAGGTTCTCTTCTTATATTTGGAGAGTGTAAAAGGACGAAGGTTCTCTGCCTACACTTGCAGAGTGTAAAAGGACAAAGGTTCTCTCCCTACTTTTGGAGAGTGTAAAAGGACGACGGCTCTCTGCCTACACTTGGAGAGTGTGAAAGGATGAATGATTCTCTGCATACACTTGGAGAGTGTGAAAGGATGAAAGGTTCTCTTCCTACACTTGAAGAGTGTGAAAGGACGAAGGGTTCTCTGCCTACACTTTGAGAGTGTAAAAGAACGAAGGTTCTCTACCGCATCGGGTAGTGGTGGAAAAGAGTTTTTGTGAAGGCTTCTTCGCCTTGTTGTGGGGGCAAAAGGAGAGACACTACTGGTATTAGTGTAATACTCGGAAGATGGCTCCGGGGAGTGAATGTAGGTCGTGTTTGACCGAACCATAATAAATCTTGCGTCTTTTATTTTTTGCTGCTTTTTATTTTTCTATTTTATCTGTGGTTGAAAAATCATTTTAAAAATCACTAAAATTAAATCAGTTTTAAGAGGAAATTTTTAAATTACTAATTCACCATTTAATTAATTATAATTTAATATTTTATTTTAATTAATTATAAAATTTAATAAATTATTTAAATAATTTTACTTATATAACTTATTTTGATTATCAATTAAATTTTTAAATTTTAAAAAATAAGTTTTTATTTAATATTCTATCATTTTTAATATAAATAAACAAATTTCAACTTAAATATTTTTGCAGCAACATAGTGCTGATCGGAACGGCACGCGGGCATGGGGCGGGGAGGTCCTCGGTTCAAATCCTTGGCATGGCGCAAATGGGCTCACACGGGGAACTGGCGAGCCTACATGCGGGGGAGCGGGTGTGCTGGGTGTTGCCTATGATGGGTGGGAGCAGGGCTCCCCTGGGCGAGAGATGCATGCCCGCTGGGCTGGGTTGGGGTGCATCAGGGTGCAGGCAGGCTAGGGTCATCTGCGGGGGATGCGAGAGCAAGATGGGGTCATCCATGGAATTTTTTTAAAATCATTTTATTAATTTCGACAGATCTTTTGCGCCGGAAAGAAGTTCTAGAGTAATTTTTTTGATGGAAAAGTTTTTTGGCGCTCAATTTACTATCAAAAATTTTTTCGTCGGAAATTCACCATAAAATTTAGAAATCCGTAGGAAACTTCAGAATTTTCCACTGAAAATTTTGTTTGAATCTGTGACTTTCCTGTAGTGCTCTTTGGATTATTATGGGTGACTTTAACTACTGCAAATATTCTTTTGAGAAAATTGGTTGCTCGTTCTTTTGCAGAATAGGCTTTGGGACTTTAACTCTATGGTGTTTGATGCAAATCTGAATGATTTGCATTCGGTGGGTCATTTCTTTACTTGGTATAACCAACACATTGATAAACCTATTTATATAAAGCTTGACGGAGCTCTTATGAATGAGGGTTGGGTGTCCTAATAACCCAATTCCTTCTACTCGATCCAAAACCCTTTTTGCTTTAATCATTGCCCCATTATTCATCATTTTGGCATTTATCTCCTTGTAAGCCATAAATTCCTCTTCAAAAATTTTTGGACCAAGCTTGATAGCTATTGGGAGTCTCTATAAGATATTTTCTCTATTCGTTATAGTGGAAATCCTATCTTGGGCTTATATAGGAAAATTGAGAAGTTCAAAAGTGATATCAAACAGAAAGATTGTGTGAATTCTTTCATTTTAGAATATCATCTAGCTATTCTTCATCGCATGTAAGGTGACATTTTAGAAAGTATATTTGAGAACCCTTTAAATGTCAAATTGAATGCCAATCTCAAATCTATCAATGTGAAAGTCTTTAAACTTTCCTCTATAATTGCATCTTGGGTAATTCAGAGAGCTAAAGCCAACTGGATGTCCAACATGGAAGATAATCTTAAGTTCATTTTTGCAAAAATTTTGGGGAGAAGTGGAACCAATAATGTTGTTGTTAACCTTACTAAATCTAATCCTCAAAACTCTATATCGAAAGCCATCTCTTATATTATCCAACATTTTCAAAACCTCTATAATCCAAATCCACATCTGTCTACTAGCATGAACCTTTTTCTCGTAGGTAACACATTGACCCCATCTCTTGCTTCGTCTCTAACTAATCAAACATCTGATGACGAGATAAAATCTACTATTTTTTTCGGGTCCTCTACTTCTGCCCTGGGGCCTGATGATTTCAATTTCCATTTCTAAAAAATGTCTTAGCAAATTATTGGTCCAACGATTTATAAGGCGATAAAATATTTCTTCAATAAAGAGTATCTCCCTAATGGTGTTAAAGTCATTGCACTTGTATTAATTCTTAAAACCAAGCATGCGGCCTCATTTGCAGACTTTAGGTCAATCACCCTCTGCAATGTTCTTTGCAAAATCATCTCCAAAATTCTATCTAGCAGGTTGAAGCCCAGCCTATGATTATGAAAGATAATCAAGCTGGGTTTATTAGGTCTAGAATATCTACATACAACATCTTACTAGCAAATAAAATTTTTAATTATACTCGACGTATGGGAGGCAATAGCTTCTTCTTTGCTAAATTGGATATTAGAAAAGCCTTTGATATGGTAGATCTCTAGGGAATTTCTCGTCTCAAAGATGGTGCAAAAAGGTATACCAAAAATTTTATTCAATAGGTGAAAGATTGCATATATGATGTTAAATTCTCTATTGCTAATAATCGTGCGCTTGAAGGGTATTTCTCTTCTTATGCTGGACCACATCAAGGGTGTCCTTTAAGCCCTTACCTTTTCTATTTGGTCATGGATGCTTTCTCATGCCTTATTCATGATGGTGGGTTTTAAGGTATTTCTTTGGAGGGTTTCAAGCTAACTCTTATGCTTTATGCAAACAACATGCTGGTTTTTGGCAAGTTGGATATCTCTAATTTCTCAAAGCTTTCTAGCTGCCTTAACATTTTTGCTAATGCTTCAAGTCTTCAAGTCAATTTGAGAAAAGCTCTCTCATTCTCTCTAGAAACTCACCTAATCAAGATGTTATATGGCATGCCCTTTCTCTTTGTAATGTCAGTAATTACATTACATATTTGGGAATTTTGATATCCATTAGAAGACAACAAATTTTTGATTATTTGCCTCTTTTAGAAAGCATCACAAGGAAACTTTTAGGTTGGAATGCTAACCTAATTTCATTTGCTGGCTGTTTACAATTTATTAAATTCACTATTTTAAATTCCATAGTCTATTGAATAGAGGCGCTATTTTAATTAAAATCGTCATTAAATCTGTGAAGAAAATATGCTCCAATTTTTTATTCTTTGGGGAGGTTATTGCCCTAAGAAATTGCGAATGATCTCATGGGAAAATGTCTACAAGCCCAAAGCTAAGGGTGGGGCTTGGGTTTGCCTTCTTTTTTTGCACTACAATTTGGTTCTCTTTATTCTACTATCAGCAGGATGTATAATCGTGACAATCCTTTATCCATATACACTTCCCCTTGGAGGCCTCCCCTTGCTCTTGCATCTCCTTTTTGGAAAGATGTGTACTCCATGGCTGGTAAGATTTCAAATTGCTTTAGCTTTACGATCACCCCTTCCTCTCCCATCTCTCTTTTTTGGGACAACTAGTGCAATGGGGCAACCCTCATTCATAACATGTTTGCTGCTTCTCTATTGCAACAACTCTAGCCTAATGCTCAAGTTAATATCCTCATCTCTGATGATAGTTGAAATTTGCCTAATTTCCTTCCTCTTCCTATTGCAAACATTATTCAGGATACTACCATATATGGTTGTGCTGGTTCTTGCCTGTTGGGGGAGGATTTTTGAATAGGTTCGTTTAGACAGTATGTTAATCAATTTTACATTGATATTCCTTTGGCTCCCTGGGCGAACCTTATCTGGCACAAACACAATGTTTTAAAGTTTTCAAATTTTGGCAGGATGTCAATCGTGGGAGGTCTCAAAATAGCATATGCTTTAATTAAAAGAAATATTCATATTGATGTATCTTGCTCTTTGTGCCACTCTTGCAATGAGAGTATACACTAGTTGTTTTTTGACTGTAGCATTTCATTCTTTATTATTGTGGATCTAATTCTTGTCTCAAGTGCACTGCATCTTAGGCCAACTATTTCGCAACTTCTGGTTTGGATACAAGAACTACCCAACACTTCCACGATTGTCAAGAATCTCTTCCTTCTTATCACTTGCTGCACTATCTACTTTGTTTAGCGGGAAATAAATGACAGGCGTTTCATCAACTCCATGAACAACTCCAGCACAATCACAATTAAGATTAGCAGAGTTGTTTTCTCCAAAATATGCAAGAGGAAGAATGGACATGACCTTTTGGATATATGCTATAATTTCTTGTCTTATTTTTTTAGTTCCGCTTTTTTTGTATTCTCCTGGAGGGCTGCTATTTGGGTTTTTGTTACACAGGACAATGATGTTCGTATGGCCTTTCTTTTGGACAGTCTTATGGCACCAAGGGAATTTAATTCGTGCTCGCTCGTCTAACTAAATCTTATTACCGAGTCTTGATTTTATTTTAGGTTTGATTTTTACTGGTGTTAAATGGTTTTAGCTTTGTTGAGATAGCTCTTTTTTTGTAGAGCATTTTCCTATTTCATTTCTCACATATAATTTTGTTATTTAATATACCGGCTTTGCCCAAATTTTCCAAAAAAAAAAAATATAAGAACTCTAAATCTCCTCCAACTGAATGGTGACATCTCTATAAGATAGCCTTGTCGGAAAAATATAGATATATATAAGAAAATGAGAGATGGAAGAAACCATAGGGTTTTTTGTACGTTAATTGCCATTTTTCCAGTGCAAGAAATCTACATCAGACATTTTTCCACTGCAAGAAAGAGACGACAGTAGAGACGAGAGTAAGAAAGATAGCAAACGCAGCAGCAAAAACGGAGATCGCTGTCCATGGATTCCTGAAGTAGGTATGTTGGAGATACGCGCAACATTTATTCCACCCTCTTTTACAGTACTTCTCCACTTCACACTGCACAACCCCCAAACTTCCACCCTGGTCCACTATCACCTCCTGGCTCATCCTATTAAACAGGTCTGCAAATTCCTCATCACTGCCCAGCCCATTCTTAACCATTCCATGGCGATGCAACAGCTGCACATCCTCAGCCGAGTCCACCAGCGCTCCCATGAACGCAACATACGAAGAAATATCGCTCCCCGACTCGGCGTGGATGTGCTCAAGAGCCACCATGTTGAGGAACACGTATTCTGTACTGTCGTCCACTGTTACTTCCGGGAGGGTGAGGACGCCGTGCTTTGAGTCGAAGCTGATGGTGGTGAGGGCGGAGGAGCAGCTCCGTTTGAATTTAATGCCGGCCTCACGCTGTCTTGCGGCGGAGCGCATCACGGCGAAGTTTGTTAAGTAAGAAGAGGTCTTTCGGATCGGCAACTGGGGAGTCTTGGTGGAAATGAACAATTGGCTACGGCGATAGATGTCCAAGGCATGGAAACCATGGATGCTTTTTGTGAATTCTGTAAGGTCGTCTTTGTTATAGTAGATGCGCGGCACAAAGAACCTGAGGACTAGTTCCGTAATAGTACGTTCTGCATCCTGCTTTTATAAAAGTATGTTTAGCATAAATTTGATCAGACATAAATCTCATTATATATTTATATTAAAAATTTCAAAATAAAAGTATTGATCATTTGAACTATAATTTTCAAAATATTTGTAGTCATAGTGAATGTCTCTATAAGATTAATCAATCGACAATAAAAGTGATATGATGTAACTCTTAATGAGTTCAAATAAAGCACTAGAATTATAATTGAAAACTTCGTGTCACTAATTTTAGGCCCAAATGATCTTTAAATCTCACATGCTTATAGTTAAGTCAATGATGTTCACAGAAGAAATATAAGAATCCCAAAATTATTTAATGATGATATCATTAAAGTACTTAAATGTTTAAAAATGATTTATATGCAGTGGAACTAATACAGGTCGTCTGATTCAGTATGCTATATTTTAGCTATATTGGTGTAGCGTTGTACTATCAAAAATTTATGACTAGGCTCACATTTTATACCTAAGGTGAAAACATAAATCATTTTCTTGTGATTCAATAGAGCTCGAAGGAAAAAAATTACAAAGCTCTATCAAAGCAACAACCAATGGACTATTGCCATCGTACCACTTCTTTTTTATTAGTGTCATTGGCCAATCACTATCAAATTAGTGTTTTAAGATTGTTTCCATTCGACCACAATATATTTGCTAAGATCTCCTGAACATCAACACCTAACTATGGTTATTTAACTACCATTTACTTACTATAGTTCTTCAAGACTATGATTCCTCGACATCTTTGCGTAATTATGATCCCCTCACCATTATCACCCACTTCAATTCTCCAAGCACCTTTGCCTGACTATGATCTTAAAACATCCAACCACCATTGCCACACTTTGGTCACTAGATGATCATCACCCAACTATGATCCTCAAACCATTGTGACCAGACTACAATCCTCTAACCATCATCCCTCAATCACGGTCCATTAACCATTGTTGCCTGATTATAATCTTCTAAAAATTGTTTCCAAACTTTAGTCTTCCAGCCACTGGCCTTCATTACTTGATTAGTCTTTTAAACATATTCACCTTACTATGATCCCCCCACTCCAATCACATAGCTATAGTCCTCCAACCACTATCATGAAAATGTAATCCTCCAACCACTATACCCTAACTATTTTCCTTGCATTATCATCACTTCACTATAATCCATTGAACTTTATCACTTGGCTACTTCAATACCCAATTACTTAATCACCTTCCATTGAAAATATTGTCAATAACTCCATCACCCATAACAATTATATATATATCATCAACATCAACTCTAACTTCTAATGCCAACAAAGGATTTTTTTTATAAGACTTTTTTTCTGGTCTTCCTTCCTCCAAGGAGGATATTTAGACAAACAACAAGTAATATCTTAAAGATAACTCCCACGTTATAGGTTCTCTTGTAGCTTCACCATAAAATACATTCTAAATGTTATATTTCTACTCTCTTGTGTCTAAATTTTCCCTAAGGATAGGGGGAAAAGTTTAATTTGTAATCAATAAAAATATTAGTGAAATTATTTTAGCTCAGCTATGCCCCATGTCCATTTTCTATATATTATACATGAAAACTTAGGTTTCTCTTACAATCCAATTTTATCTATTTGTGTGTTCAATATTGATACAATGCTAAAATCTTACTATATCTTTATTTTCTGCCAAGAAAGTTTTACAATGCAACAATTTTGCACAATCTGCGTGAATTGACTATAATTTAAGTGAAACTCTTAATATAATATTGGGTCATTAACATCAACATCTTGAGTTTTGTTGTAATGGGAAAATCACAATGCCTTCTACTATTTTACTAATTAGGAAAGAGGAAAGTAAATATTGGTAGGGAAACTTCCATTATACCATCAAATGGACTACATATTATTCATTATTTTGGTCAGAAAAATATTCCCTTATGTCAACCATTATTACATTGATTTCAGGGAAAGTATATTAGGTTGTGGGCAACATTAGCCACAACCTCAAAGGGATGTTCACATTATTAATTCAGGCATAGTTATAGTTAATAAAGTTCTTCAAACATCATCGATGGATTTCTCTTGACGTCTTTTAGATAGGTTAACTTTATTGAGTAATAGTATAACAAATAACCTAATAGGTTCAAATATTCTTGAAGGGCTTCTCTCTATTAAAATCCAAGAGCTCGAGTTTGTGTTTTGATGGTAAAAAATATTATTGGATTGTATTTAGCTTCTCTTTATTTTTATTATTGCATATATTTTTTGCGTGTGATTAAATTTTAGGTTCAGCATACACCAAGCATTATCAAAGAATCAAGGCTCAAAATTGAGTAGTTTAGGTTTGATCTATGCAAGAGTCTATAATTTTCGTTTATTTGTTTTTAGTTCTTGAGTGAAATGTTTGCAAAGGTGTATGTTGGCTTAGCAACCGTGCACACACATACTAATGAGTAAAATTGCAAAAAAAAAAAAATTAATCATATTATATAACCACATAATCATACAGGATGATAAGTAGATACTTTAAGAACACCCGTCGTGCATTAAATTAGGGAAAAATTGAATTTTAATTTTTCTCTCTTTGTACTATTTGAACCTAATCATATTATACGATATTTAAAATATTACCTAATTTAATGCAGTAATTAATCAATGGAAACTGCTTAAATTTAATTTTTGTTATCGTATTGTATGAACTAAATTGTACTATAGGATCGATGTAGATGATATTTGGTCATCCAAAGATTCATCATAGATGAACTAAATTTCAATTGAACAAATCATAATATACTATTGTTCATTCGAATAACATGATATAAAATGATCGTATTGTACCAGCTGGCAATTATACAATACTAATAAGAAGAATTGAATTGATCATACTATATTAACTATACATCATACAATACAAACAGTGCAGACTTGAACTAATTCGATTGTACTAATTGGTGATCATGTAGTACCAATAAGTTAAATTCTACGTATTATACTATAGGATCTTGTGATCGTCGCGTACGAACAATAATAATTGAATTAATTTTTTAGTATTTTTTGAAGATCTCTATTTAAGCTTTCTTGTTACACTATGTAAGAGTCTTTTTGACAGTCTTTGGGATAATTCTTTAGAGAGAAAGCTTGAAGAAAGAGCTTAAAGCTTGGAAAAGAAAGAGTGAAGTTTGTGATAGAAGGAGAAGATCCTTATGAGATACAAGGGAGTGTGAGAGGGAGTTTCACATGTTTGCTCGGACGAACTTGTACTTGAGTTCCTCTATGCATCAATATTTGTCTTGAGAAAAGTTTGGGAAAGAAGATCCCTTTTATGTCAAAGGGCCCGGCTACTCCGCTGCACTAGGGAAGATGAAAGTGATCTGAGATTCTATGTTTTCACCAAGATCGTAAAAAAGGATTCTAGGTTTATTTCCTTCACCATATGTGCGAAAAAGCTTCTAGGTACTCTATTTTCACCAGGAGAGTAAAAAATCTTCTAGGTTCTTTTCCTCACCAAAAGGGTGAAAAAGATTCCGGTACTCTATCTCGCTGAGTTCATTGAAGAGGTTGATGTAAGGGCTTCTCCATCTTGTTTTGTGGGCTAAAGGAGAGACACTAAGAGTTTAGATCAATACTCGGAGAGGATGACTCTTAGGAGTGGACGCAGGTCATTGTTTGAACAAACTATTATAAAATCTTGTGTGTTTGTTCTTTGTTTATGCACTTTTATTTTTTGTAATTTTCTCTCCTACAAATTTATGTTGTGAATGTTTTGATTAGTTTGGATTCATTAGGCATAAAAATAAATTTTTTGTAACTTCATCTTTTGAGATTTTTAAAAAATCAAAATACAAAAATAGTATTTGACTTGCTTCTGCATTGTGAGATTTCATTTTTAATTTTAAGTTTTAAAATTGGAAATTGTGTTTTCATAAAAGAATTTTTCGAAAAGAAAAGTTTTAAGAATAATATCAATTTAACCCCCTCTTGGTGTGCCTTGGGCGGTTCAATGAGGTTTAACCAACTCACTTGAACTAATATCTTTCACGATTGGTTTGGGTTTGTGGTGGCACCTCATAACAATAAATTATGGAAGATAAACTTTTTAAAATGAATTCTTTTTTACCTTTCTTTGGATAGATAAGAACTTGGCTAAAATATATCAATAAAAAGTATAATTACTATGTCAAAATTAATCAAAATCAAAGAATCAGGCATCCAAAAAGTCTTAGTCTCCTATAGGAGGAAAGTTTCCCAAATATTTTATCATTAATACATAAAACATTATAATTCCTTTTATTTCATGCTCGAAATTGCATATATCTTCCAAAATGTGTATTAATACATAAAGTAATATACATTTCTATAATTAATAAATTTTATTTCAAAGCCATTTACAAAATTACTAAGCATACTTGATGTCCACACACTAACCATTATTGATGGTTTCTTAAATCATACTATAGCTTTCAATCTCTAGAATCAGCTTCTAATGAGTGATATCTTCTAAGTTATTATAGTTTCCAATGAAGTAACATTTACATAGGATACAACATCTCTCAAATTATTCTAACAACATATAAGCCAACTCCTTTTGCAATGGAAGACTAAGGCTACACATAGGGATAATAGGCATTAATTACATAACACTCCAAACTTGATAAGCCTAATAAGAACATTCATCATCAATATTAAGGTATATTCGCAACTTCACCATCAAGATTATAGGCTTTTACCTGCCATTTTTTATAACATCAATGCACATGGCATCCCACTAAGCCAATATGTACAAATGAAACCAACTCTTACTCCCAATGTTAGAACTAATATTTATATTGGATTTCTTTCTCTTTGGTATCCCTTTCAAAAAAGAGTAATAGTAGTAAAAGGTAACAAATGATTTCATTAAGATATCTCCACCACCACCCCCTGCGTTGCTCCTACAACTTTTACCACAGAATATGACATGTTCATTGTATCTCTACTATATTATATGAACTTCTCTGCCCATCCAGAGAAATACATAATTTGTAATCTATGACAAATAGTAATTGAATCATTTCAACAATACTTGGCCATATGTTTTTCATTTATCAAGATTTTGATATAAAACATTTCTATCTTTGACAACCCTCTTTTATTCGTCTATCTTGGATCATTATACAATGATAAGTAGTGAAAATTCTTTGTCTCTACCAATGCAAATGTTTTAGCATGCGACATTGTTATATATTTTTAGGAAACAATTTATTTTTTTATTATTTTTGCAAATAAAAAATACAATTTATTTTGATTTTATTATAATAGATGTATCATTTATAATTTTTTTTAAAATCAATTTTTTTCATAAGAGGATCAATTGTTCAACCTATTTTTTCATATTTAATATTAACAAAACATACGAGAATAATACATGAGTTCATATATATAGGATAGTTAATACCTCTTCATTGACATCCATCTCGATTGAAACAAGCTTCTTGAATACCAAAATGGGTAGTTGGTTCTCGAGCATCAACATATCCCTCCTCATATAAGGAACTTTATGCTTCATCGCATGTGAACCAAAGAAAGGATCACTGGGGGCATAATGTTTACAATGATTCTCATCAAGCCTCAATACTTCCAGCATGAAACAACCATCAGTTATCATAAGTTTTATGAAATCATTTTGATTCTTCCATTCTTCCTGCAGGTCAACATACGAGCATTGCAACTCCTTCACTACCTCCATCATTACATTCGCATAGACACTTAAGGACTTGACTCCCCTTTTTAGGAAGTTGTGGAGAGCCCTTTCCTTATGAAACTCTAATGGTTGCAGATCACTTTTGTGATGATGGTAGGGACCTAATGCGACCACCTTGGGCGTGAACACACCTGGCTTTATCATCTTTACAAATTCGGGCAATCTGAATATAGATGGTTTCTTCCACTGAATCTCTTCGTCGCAAAGATTAGATGCATTGTTGCAAGTTAGTTTTTCCTCTAGATCAATCACCCAGCTTCTCTCCCCCTCTATGCTCACAGAAGAGAAATTCTTGATCATGGCCATGGTAATGAGCAAGCCACAAATTGCAACAAAGCAAGAATGCTGGTTATATAAGATTAGTTGGAATTTTGGAAGTGTTGATTTGTTAGTCTTATTGAAACTCAATATGCAATTATATCAGAAGAAATATGCCTTGTACATGAGAACAAACTTCATAGCTACTATGCTACCTTTCTTTCTCCCACAAGATAGCTAAGGTATAAGATGCCATGTTTGTAAATAATAAGTGGAATCATACCCAAATATATACATATATATCTTTAAATTTAGCTTCAAATATTATAGATTGTGTGACAACATCGTCGTTTTTAATATGAAACTATACGAAAAATTGATGCAGCAAATATATAAATTGTAATCCTACGTATGAGCGGATCGATACTATGCGCTATTTATAGATAAATTGTGCATTCCAAAATAAAGTCAAAAAGGGCATTGAAGTGCTTTCGTTGTACCAACTTATTTCGTGGATCGTAATCTGCAATGTGCACTGGCTAACTTCCTATCAAAAATTTGTTCCAATCCATAAAATGTTTGGAAAAAAATGATTTCGAAGTTTGACGAATGGCTCAATAGCAAAACTCGACAATTATGTGATGAACAAACAGCAAAATGAAGAATCATTATTTCTAAAATTACAATATTGATTTTGGTAATTAGAAATATATTCTTTAAGACTTCAGGTTCAATAAAATTGAATGAAGGTTGGATTTTGGAGACTTTAGGATGCAAATGAAGCATCTTTATTGATTTCGGTAATCAGAGTCCTTTGAGCACAATACTTTTAGATGGGGAAATAACTCGTAACCGGTTGGGAACCGCAGCTTAAATAGAATAACCATTTTAAAAAATTATTTATTTTTTTATGTATTATTATCCTAATGATATTGTTTTAGTCCGAATATTATGGCATATTGTTTAAATGAAGGAAGTTACTGATTAAATTATTTGAATAATCAAATATAAATTGCTTACATAAATATTTTAATTTTGATGCCCCTCGTAATTTAGATAAACACCAAATTTGAATAAAACATAGAAGTATAACATTGAATCAAACATATAACTTTTTTTTATTTAATTTTACTCCTCATCAAATAATCCTAAAATTTATAAATACATTAGTTTAATTTATATGCATTTATTATAAATCCAAAGGGAAATTAATTCCTTTATATAATCCTAATAAATTCCATTTAATCAAAAAAATATTGTTTTGTTTTTATAAAATGATTTTTTTTTGTTAATTTTTCATAATTTATTTTACTTAATGTACTTTAAATTATTAATGCTAAATCATTATATGTATTTTAATATTATTTAAATTTCTATATAAATATTAATATATAATATCATTATGATATTGTGTAAATTTCTGAGATATTAATAACTTTAAAATTTGAAGCCTTCTCTATCTGCACAATAAGCTTCACCCAAAATGATATGTTATATTTTTACTAATGTGTTTGCCTTATTAGAAATTTAAGTACCGCCTATACTTTTATAAATTTGGCATGCCCCTTCATAGTGTAGTTTTGATTAAGTTTTCATGCATTATTAATTTCAATGTATTATTACTTGAATTTTGTATCTTATAATTCAAAATTAGAACTACATAATAGAGATATATAATTTTTTTGTTGTGTATAAAAACATTAAATAGATATTTCTAATTTTGCAAAAGTATATATTTCTAAATTACAACATGCACCAAATTAATATCAAAGTTGAGTTTTAAAAATTATAACATGCATCATTACTTAAAGATTTAGATGAACTTCGACGTATTGTGGTTCTTACATAGTAAGTTGAATAACACCAATAAAAATAATTTCCTATTCTTAATGCCCCACGTAATTTTCTATCGTACATATAAATTATGAAGTTAAGTATGATACTGTCTCTAAAATTTTTGATGTCTATAATTGACATCCTTATCAGTTACTTTTGATAGACATAAAGCCAACCGTATCTCTTAATATCTTTCATAACTCTATCAAGCCTATGAATAAGTCGATACATTACATGTTAGAGATATTTTCTTAGGGCATCACTAATGACCAAAATAAAAATTAATCAACTCTACATTAAATTAAACAGTAATTGTTGTTGTTGCGGCAACTTACAAGTTATAACCGAATTTACACCTAACTATGTTGGGGGTAGAAATCAACCACTCCTCGTGGAAGAAATAATTTGTTGGCACAACTAAAACTATGAATTCTACATGTGTTATGGTTTAAGTCTACGACACGAACGGTTAACCTTGTCTATCGTATTCATGATAATGTGGATATATATTCTACCACAAATGTCACTGATGATGAGATTTGTCAGTTAATGTTAATGGAGGCGAAGGGGTGTATTGTAGTCATTTACATATATAAGTTGAAGAACTTCCAGTAATAGAAACAACATCGATGAGAATAATAAACTTTACATTTGATGAGGTTGGGATGTCTACTCAAGATTACATGTTAGTGCAAATTATAAATATGAAGATGCATTTACTAGATAGCATACTGGTCGCAAAACATAATTGTGTCGCTAAATAATATTATTATTTCGTAGCCCCACTCCATTGTCTATTGCACTATAGGTTAACACAAGAGACTTGCCGATAGTTATTGAATCTTACTTTTGTGAGTGCCTAATTTTATTAGAGAGCTCAACTTTTATGCAATAAGACACTCTATCATGTGCAAATTAATGTTATTGACTGACGAAGTGGAGAGATACCCTTGCCTGATTACTTGAATGATCCTCACTCTTTTAAGCCATATGATCATGGTGGTTCGCACCCCAACCTAACCTACTAGAAAGGTGTCGAAGCAAATGAAGATGATTATAAATACATACCAATTAATGAATATTGACAGCAGTGATGCCTTCAGTGGAAGTTTGAAATGAGACATCCCTTAATCTTCATTAGAAGATCACAACACATAGTTACTAGGCTATGAGTTCATTTAAGAACATGAAAGGGAGAATCATGATTGTTTGGAAGCAATGTTTGTCAATAATGATTTCGTGAAGTTATTTGTATAACTGAGCAATGGGATGCCACCAATGACCATTATGCCCCTAGAGTGGCTACGGTTACTAAAATAGAAGATGCAATTCCCATTATAATTTATGAAGGCTAAAATTTTCATGCAAAGAAAGTCCTACAAACTACAATTAATTGGTGATCTATCATACATAATGTTCAATACATTTAATTACCCTATAATAGGAGCATACTAACTATCATATATTTCCAGCATGATAATCCACAGTACCCCTACCTTTGGACCCTATATGCCTCTCAAAGTAAGAGATTAGGTGGACTTTAAAAAATATTTGTGCAGTCCTCAGCACACCTATACCTATCCCATAATGACAGTAGGTCATTAAAATTATAGTTTAAAGTTTATCTATTCATATATTACTCCCATACTTCACCAAAAACTCAACATTAAGCCAAGAAAGATAATCTTAAGAATGGAAATCAAGTTTGATATTAAGGTATTGTGTTTAAAGGCATGTGAAGCACAAAAAAGGCAATACAAGCCATCTTTAAAAGTTATGAGGACTCTTATCACTTCCTTTTCTATTTCATGAATGCTACTCCTAAGGCCATACCGTGGACAGTCTATAATATTAAAGTGATGGGTAACTTCAACTTCAAAAGATTATATTGGCTTTTAGCGCATCTATTATGGGGAGGCAATACTGTTGGACAATCCTTAGCCTGGAGATATTTTTTCTTTGAAAGTATAGGGATACCCTCTTAGCTATGGTTTGGATCGATGATAATGGTGGCTTATTTATACTTGCATTCCCGATCAGAGAACATAAAGACCTATGCATACTTTAGGATAAGCAACCAAGACTTGTCAGGGGTAACAAGGAAGTATTTCCAAATGTGGGACACAAACATTATTATAATCATCTATATGAAAACTTTAAGAAGGTTCTACGATGGCTCAAAATTTTGGATAACGACAAGATGTATTATGTTGGAAATATAGCTGACATGCATTACTTTAACAACATAATAAATGACATAATGACCATTAAACAAGATTCATTTGACTGGCTAGTCCTATGCGACATGTTGAGATGGACCCTCCTATTCAACGATGACCACCAATATGAGATTATGCTAATAATAGCATTATAATGCTTTAAAAAAATTATTAAATATGCATGTGGGCTGCTTATATAAGTCATGATAATGGCCATATACTATAACCTGATTACATTATTCCATAAGTGTTTGGTAGATGCATCAAACTAGATCGACTAGGGAAAATCAAATTTTGTTCCACACATGAAAATAAGCCTCAAATGCTCCAAACATGAGGTCTGCCATTGTCCCAAGCTTGTTATGTTAAACAACCAGGAATTTAAGTTTTTTACATGCCATATCAGGCCCACAAGGTGGAAATTAAAAGTACATGTACCTATATGTTTATATTTAGTAAGCCCCAACTTTAATGCATTTCATGTGTCCATGTTATTATTATAGTTAGGGTTAGGTGATGGGATCATAATATTTTTATATCACCCTACTTTATGATGCAGTTTTACAAGGAGAACTACTATGGATTAATCCATATTACTCTTGAGAATGATTTATGGCCTCCCTTCAATGATGAATACAAAGTTATCCTTTTTATTGTCCCTATGTTTAAGCATCATGTAGGTTAAGCATGCTCGATTGGAATCCAAAATACAATGGATGAGCGTTTTGCATCATCACTCAGGGCCTACAGTTCTTTTAAGAATTTTGGCCACAACAGGTCAACTTGTCCAAATAATCTTATCTTATTTAGGTTTGAAAATGTAATTTATATTTAGCATGCATATAATATTATAGTTTAATTCACCTTTATCTAATTACACAAACCTCAACCCTAAAATAGGTATGACAAATAGCACAAGTAGATTGGCGCATTACCATTTATGAGGGCATACTGCCCGAGATATTAGGAGGATGGCATTACCAATGATCAGAT